TATTTGAGTCTTTTCCTTATTTCCTTGAACCTTTAACTAAAGGCCACAAAAAGGTATTTTTTTACCTCCACATATTTTACTAAAATATATCTCATAAGGTTTTAGGTAGGGACCTCAAAGGCAAAACAACTGATAATCTTATGTTGTCCGGTGTATTCATGTTTTACTATATAAAAGAATATTATTTTTGAAATAAAAAAATACACATGATTAGAGATTAATATGTTATTATTGTGTATAATTTGTTTAAAATTCAAAAATTAAGATGAAACGAATGAATCTCTCCCTCTCTCTCTCTTTCTCTCTGAATATCTTGACACAACCAGCTGATTAGAAATAAGATCGGACAACATAGGGTTACCAAATATTCCCCTTAAATCAATAAACAAATTAATGATATTACAGAATCGTTCATCCATACGAACTTTGCACATCTTAATTTTTTTTTTTTTGGAACCTAGATGGGGAATATGGGTTCACTTTTTCTTAAAATTTATTTTATAATCAGCTAATAAATTCGTGTTGAACTAAAATTTGCACAACCTATTTTCTTCACCAAGCCTAGATTAAGTCCAAAGATGGTACCCATTGGTCCACTCCTTATAGTATCTTTCCCACAAAGCGTCAAAATTTTCAATATTTATAAATTCAATATTAGGCTACTGTAATTTCCGATTTGATCCAAATTGTTTGAAGGTAGGGAAAATCGATGACTCACACCGGTTCTGGAATATCCAATTTCATAGAAACTTTGTACATGGTAATATATTGACCTTACATAAATCAAGCTGGAAGATGGGGTACGTTGGTCCACTCTTTCTGGTACCTTCCCCACAAATGTCAACAGTTTGAAATTTTGTTAAGATAATGGAATTTTTCCAAACCCACATTTAATCTTATCTGAATGTGAATCGGACTAGATCTATCCATAAACATGTCATACGTTTGGGACAAAAGTATGAAAATCGACTTCAAACAAATATCAATAGGTCATCCGTTGGGATTTGTCTGTACTTCTAGAAAACGTAACTACGTTATTCTAGGCTCAATTTTGTACGTTGTGCACAATTTGATGTCAATCTGACAAACATGAGGAGTTTGATGTACAATTTACTTAAAATCGGACGAAAGTATATATAGAAGCTATACCCAAATATGAAACGACTTCAACGAAACTTGTCACAGGTTAAGTTATCCTAATTTCGGTACGTTTAGTTCCTATTAGTCATATATTGGTTTCTTGGTGCGTCAATTACTTCATATCAGCTACATCTAAATCCCAACCGATTTTTACGAAACTTGACACACAAAATTCTGGACTAAATTCAGTACGCTATGCAACATAAGAACTTTGGCACATTATTTAAATTAAATCGGACGAAAAAATATATATATAGATCTGAACCGATCGACATCGCTCTACGCTCAATTCAATACGTCATGCCAAATTTCGTACAAATCGAAAGATATATAGGGACTTTGGTGCACCATTTACCTGAAATCGGAAGAAACTATATATGGGAGCTATATCTAAATCTGGACCGATTTTCACGAAATTTGGCAGACATCATTCTAGACTTAATTCAGTACGCTGTGCCAAATTTCATGCAAATCGAAAGATATAGAGGGACTTTGGTGCCCCATTTATCTTAAATCGGACGAAAATATATATGGGAGCTATATCTAAATCTGAACCGATTTTTCCCAATTTCAATAGGGTTCGTCCTTGGGCTAAATAAGTGACTTGTGCCAAATTTCATCCAAATCGGATCATAAATGCGACCTGTACTTTGTTTACAATTTAACATCTACAGACGGACAGACGGACGGACATGCATAAATCGACTCAGAAAGTGAGTCTGTTACAAACATATGCACAAAGACATAATACCCTGTACCACAGTGCGGTGAAGGGTATAAACATATACCTTATATAAAGTGAATAATAAAACCTGTGTTTTACTTCACTGACACTTTGTTACTTGTTGGTAGGAAGATTTGCTACATAATTGGAACCCAAAATATCGAAATGCAGCCAATGTGACCAAACTCCCCAAAGTACAGAGATTTGGGAGCTACCTAAAAAGAGGGTCAATAAACGTTACGGAAGAAAAACTAGGCAAACATTTCCCAAATACCGAATATTTTGATACCAAAAGAAGTAAGGTCCAATCACACCTTGGGACCAAAGTGCACACCAAACCGTGACTTTTTCTTGATGCAAGGGACTCTCTTCAATTATATAAGGATTCTCAGAACCCCAAATACGACGACCCACTGAGGGAAAAATGTGAATCATCGCTGAAAAAATTTGTATGAAAAATTACCAACCACAGGCTGTTGTTCAAGCACTCATTCCACGTATATAAGATGTTGAGATTGGTCAACTGGTTGCAGTTTTTGCGTGAGCTGCAAAATACACCAAAATTTTCTTTTGATATATACATCCCATAGTTCAGTTTTGCCAGATTACTGGTATGTTTAGGATCATGGGTATTTCCTAACTGGCATATGGTAGGATTTTTTTTGGGTTTATTATTTGTTTTACAGTCAACTCCGCTTTACTGAAACGGAAAAAAATCTGGATATTTGTTTCAGTTATCCGATGTTTTCACTTAAGCGGAGTTCGGTTAGCTGAAAATAATTTCAGTTATCCGAACTTCTCATAAGCGAGCAATTTTTCAGTTTAAGGAATTTCAATAATTCATATTTTATATCGAATACCTAGGATTCGTAGGATGCGTGTTATTGAAATACCCGGCTTGTAACGAATCTTCAATATAATATGTATATAATATAATATTTATGATAGATTGATTGATTTTGAGAACGGAAAATGTCGATACATGTCTTTGAAAAGGTTTCATACTAGCCCTTTTAAATTTTTTTAATAGCTGACTTGCCTGTAATATGGGGTTGTGAATAAGTAACATATTTCTTTGAAATATTTGTTCATTGTAGATTCACATATTTACACTGTTCCTATTTCAAATTTGATTATCATCTTGAAGGATTTAAATAATAACTGAGAGTAGTAAAAATTTACGACATCCTCAAAATTTTTTTAATTTTATGAGATCTCGTTTTAACATTTCCCCTATGTATATAAAATATAGAAATGCGGAACAGATTTTTTGCGAATTTTCCAAATGGGTTAAAAATTTGGCCGTACGAATTTAACGTTCTTCGACATCAAATTTATATATACATGACACACACGTTCCATACGTCGGAAAAATCTTTAATTGCAGAAAAATATCTGTTATAGCGGGCTTTGAAGATGTGATTCCTCAATGCAAAATATTCTGTCATTATTTTTCATTCTCATGATTTTCAGTAATGCGGAGTAATTTGAAAGGACATTGCAATATTTGACTCCAAAAGCTATTTCAATTATCCGATATTTTCAGTTATGCGAAGTTTCACTTATGTGGAGTAAATTGTAGGCGATTAACCTAAAATGTAATGGTGTAGGAAATCAATTTCACTTATCCGATATTTTTCAGTTAAGCGACTTACAGTAAAGCGGAGTCGACTGTATTAGCATTCACTTTCACCACTACTATTTTAATGAACAGTACATTTTTCATGTATTTCACCAAACTAGAGAAATTCAAGAGAGTGATAGCAAATCTTTCGGGACTTGATTCGCTATCTTGGTCTTTAGATTCCATTCGTAAAAATTTGTATATCAATAACCAACTATATGTACGTATTTGGTTGTTTGAATGGATTTTGTAAATTGGTCAACTGCAGTACTATTTTTATGAACACATCTGTAGGTCCCACATATATATTTTCGTCCGATTTTAAGCAAATGTTGTATCAAAGACCCAAAGTTTGTATGATGGGCACAACGTACAAAATAGAGCATAGAGTGACGTAATTGCGTTTTTTAGGCATACAGACGTAGCCCATATATATTATCGACCGATGTTAATTGGCCTCTAAATAATAAACGGATGTCCGACTGGGATTTGCTTTAAATCGATTTACATAATCTTATATATATATCCAACTGAAAAGTTTAGTATAGGTTGCAGAATGATACATTTATGAATTGATCTATGTCGGTTCACATTAAGACAAAGATCACATATTTTAACTCATCCAATTTCATGTTAACGTTCTTTCGGTCAGTTAGGATGCATCTGTTGAATATACCCAAAGTGGTGAAAAGTATCATAAAGTCGGCCCCGTCCGACTTTGCTACTTTCCTTACTGGTTTTCTATTAATATGTATATGGAATATCCCATATTAATGCGTATTTGTAGAATAAATTACACTAGTTCTCTTAATTTGTTATCTCAGGTTAAACATTTCGCACTGTACTCTTTCTTTTCATAAGAGAAATAAATTAAATAATAACAAACGAATTTTTATCACTTTCACAACAATTAGTAGAGAAGAAGTTCATTCTAGACAAATGAAATGAAGCAACAACAACAACAAAACTGATAACAGGCCACCGAATGATATGAACTGATATTTACTGAGCAAATTTGTTCACAGCCAACGAATATTCGCTTTGGCGTTCTTTTCATAACATTTAGTATAGTTACTGACATTAAAGCGATTAAAACGAAAACAAAATCAGACAAGGGGAGACGACAATAGTTTATTAATGAAAACAAAAAAGATAGTGATTCGAGGCAACACCCCCTAAAAGAAAATTAAAAACAAAAATTAAAAACACAAAATTTTAATTCATGAACTAAAAAAGATAATTCCACGCTATTAAAAAATAGTGCGAAACCAAAAAAATTTTAATGAAAATACAATTTTTTGAATAGCCTAAAAGTGAAGTGCCATAATTTGTTTGTGTGTGTCTTATCTTTAATTGACCACGATAATACCAGTGTTCTATTTTTATTAAATTTAAAGAAAAAACAATATTTTTTTACACCTTTGGTTTGACGACGAAATGAATGGTGACTCTATAAATAATGGTGACTCAAAGCGTTCAACCTCATCGGGTATTAATTCGGCCGCAGCCGTAGGAGGTTCTACAACCATTGTTAAATATGAAAAATCCTCCTGTTTATTTTGCAATGAATGGTTCGATTCACAAACATTTACGGTACGCTATTGGAATACGGGCAAATCTAATTGAATTCAATTCTATTTAACGAAATTGATTAGCTGTTTCCTGTAGAAAGGGGGACGATGTAATCTTATCATTTGTAAATAAACGCTAATATACGGTCTTATTATGTTACAAATAAATATTATAAAGTTATAATTGTTATCGGTCAAAGTCAATGAGTAACAACAAGTGTGGTTCTAAATTCAAATAAATGCTGATTTTTTAGGGGAGATTCTATGTTCAATTTATATTAAATGGAAGTTGCAAAAGTAAATTTATTAATAAAAATCGTAATGTTAGTATATGATATTCATTCAGTTTTGTATTACCGACGTTAAACTATTTCCCCGTATTTTTTTTAAACCCTCTTGTTTGCCCTATTAACATAGAATTTTAAAACTTTTATCATGTCATGTTTAATATTACTAAATCCCATATTGCCCTTGAAATTGTTAATAATGGTCAATGGGTTTTTTCATGGTCATCATGGTTGTTTTTGTTGTGCTTCCTATAGCTATGTTATCGACGGGTTTTGTATAAAAATCCTCTTCAACAATTCTGTTGTCAAAAATAGAAAATATGCTCAAACAAAAAAGTATTTTTGGAGTTTGGGTATATTTTACATAGTCAGAATAACACACATTAGGGGTACTCACGCAAAATGTATACTGAATGTAAAACAAATAAATTTTGGGTTTTAAATACGCAGACAAACTATAGGAGTTTGGTGCACCATATACAGGATATATCTAAATCTGAACCGATTTTCCCCAATTTCAGTTCGTATGTTTAAATGACATGTGTAAAATTCAATCTTCATCGAATCATCGGACAAGCATTAATAAACACAAGAAACAAGTAATAACGTCATGAAGTTCAGTCGGACCGAACTGTTTATACCCAGCACCATAAGGAAATTATAACCAATTTGGGTAAAAACGAGTCCATAATCCTCAAAATACCGAATAATTGCCAGTACCGTTATATGGTGGCTATCGTAAAAAGTAGACCACTATTAATAATTTGTAGTATGAAGATTTCTATTTAATGCGAAGCCAAATTACAGTCGATTCGGTTGTTCCCATACTCCTAAAAATACCGAAATTTAGGAGGTATCTTTATATGGGACTATCGAAATAAGTGAATTTTGCTAAATTTTGATAAGTAGATTTGCTAGGCAATGTGGATTTCATATTACATTCAATTCAGTTGAAATACCTGAAATTTTGCTGGTACCATATGAGGAATATCTTAAAAAGTGGACCAATATTTATAATTTTTGATAGGAAGATATATCACTTAATGAAAACCCAACATACCATGGCCTATTTAATAAGGTATACCGGGTGGCGAATTCATGGCTTGGTCTTATGTTATGATAGCATTGTGCACATATATTTTGGTTCGAATAAAAATATTTTTTGTTTATTTATTCTTCAAACAATAAATTTGAATGCAAATGAGGACTTCGATTTCGCCTCCCCGTAAACCTTGAATAAAACTTGCAACATACCAAATTATATAGTTGAGGGTAACGTTATATGAGGGCTATACGAAAAAGTAGACTGATATATCCCATTTTTAATACAAACATTCTAGGAGTAGTATGTGCAAATGCTCTGTATCAAACGTTTCGAGATTTCGTGATTTCAACAAGCAGACGGACATGCATAAATTGATGTATAATTTTATTCTGATCATGAATATATTAATTATGAGGTCCCCGGTAAATATTTCGAGATGTCACAAACGGAATGAAAAATTAAAAATTTAATATACAGTCCATGGACGGTGTATTTATTCTGTCTCTTTCCCTTGCCTATTAATTAATAATTATATTTTATTTATGTACTGGCAATTTTCCCCTAAAACAAAAATCGATGAAAATTAGATGAATAAATTTACGGTGCAGACGATAAATAATTCAGTACAAGCGGGTGTCTAGGATATAGTCGACGGTATCGCTAGAAGTTCATCTGAATGTGAAATTAAGAACCATAGGGGAAAATAAATCTCTAACATTTTATCGGCAACAATTGGTGAGGAACCACCAAGGTTGTCAGAATTGATCGACGAAAATAATGCGAACGGTAAATTAAAAACAGATATCAACAAGAAAGTGATAGATGCGGTCAATAATAAAATCATGGAGCATCAGCTGCTAAAAGGGGCCCACCGATCTGGGGGGAGGTTTACTTAATGCTTAAATTTGAGTCCTCAAACAACATGGAAAACCTGAGGAAAGTGACAATACTTGTCACACCCCATATGCGAGACAATGAATTTCAAGGTGGTGAGGAAAATAGGGATTTCTCAAATATAAAACTCAACGTTCTGGCATAGATTGGCGACATAATGAATGCTCAAGTCTTCGGTATACAGGACAAGAACTGCTGGTGAAGAAGTGGGAAGTCAACAATGGCGAGCTGAACGAAGAAAGGACTCTCATTGTGTTAGGCTTGGCAAAGTCTTTAGCGGAAAGTCTTGCTAAGACTAAGGGTAAGGCGCTCTACGTATCCAACGTTTTCTACATCAAGATTGGGAAGAAAAGCATTCGGAAGGAAGAACCATCTATAAATAACAGGGAGTGGCCCGAGGAAAAGATGACTGACTCCCAATACACAGTCGCAATGGTGCAACATGAACAGATTGTGCTATACCGCTCAGAATCGACCCGATCCTACACTCCAACAGTAATCATAATTTCAAGATTCCAGCTCTATCGGGTCACCCAAATCCATATTATACCAATTATAGTACGATTTAGTACATTTCGAATACAAATTTCCAAAACTACGTACATATCGCAATCCAACACTCTGGTAGTGTTAATTTTAAATTTCAGGTTTCCAGCTCTATGCGTACCTCTAAATTTAATTCTACTAAACACCTCCTCCATATACCGATCCTACTCCTCAAACTTGATTCGCATTCCAAATTTAAAGTTTTTAGCTCTATACGTTCACATGATGCGAAATTGTACCAATTTTGGTACACTTTAGTACCTTCCGGATTCTTATAATTCGAATTTGTAAAAAACCCCATTTGTACATATATCATACTACTTTTTTACGCGTTTCGTGCCGATCTAGTGCGCATTTCCAAAAACTAAGCTAAATCTTACGCATCCGCTCTAAGAGTGTCCCTCACTAAATATTTCAGGATTCTAGCTTATGACGTTTCGTTTTGAATCGGTTGTTAGTTAGTCGTAAGTCAGTCTCTTTTATTAGTATCGATTAGATTGTTTGGTATTCGTTCTCATGGTGCGAATTGTGGTATACCGCTCAGAATCGACCATCGTTTGTTGATCACGTGAAACATTCGCCACGTACAGATTGATATAGAAGAACATCGATTCCCGATTTAGTATGGTCCAATATATTTCGTACCGCCTAATGAAGTTCCTGTAATTTGGCATTTTGGTTTCTTGGAAGGTGAAGAATAAATTTTCCAGAAAATATATCCATGTTTTTCAATAAACCCCATATTTTTGGCATAGTCTTATATAAAAATTCTTCCAAATATTGACAAGGATTCTTGGGGTGGCGGAGTACAAATTTTGTGGTGGATGTTATTCACATAATTTGTTTAATATATTCTTGATCAGAATTTAATGCCAAGTCGATTTATTAAAGTCCCTCTGTTTGTCCGTCGGTTGAAATCACGATATGGCTCGCAATATTTAAGATAGATTCTTAAATAAGTACACATGCATTGATACTAAGCATAGGATGTGTGGCATTAAATATATCGCGCCCGATTTTTCTACGGCACCCATATAGCGATTCCCTACAATACTTGGAATTTTGAGGATTTTGGATTTTTCTACGGCACCCATATAGCGATTCCCTACAATACTTGGAATTTTGAGGATTTTGGACAAGTTTCTCAGCCGAATAAACCTCCATGATCATGATAGTTTCCATATAATGTCTGATTCTAATTTCATATTTTGTGTTCTCATTAACTGGCTAATCGTCCTACCAACTATTATTAATATTGGCCGATCTCTCGTTATAGCTCCTATACACATATTTTGAAGCTCCCATGTACATTTTCCAACCAACCGACCACCAGTGTCGGCCTCAAAGTGTAGGTTATAAAATGTACTAACAGGCTCAAAATTTTCCATGTTCCTTATGGCGCCCGATCGACTACAGTTCTTTCTCCTGGTTCACAAATTGTGTAAAATTTTTTATACCCTACACAACTATTTTGTCAGGGTATTATAGCTTTGTGCAGCCCCAAGAGTTTGTAACGCCGCGAAATATTGGTCCTAGACCCACCTTTAAGTATACCGTTGAAGACCACTATTGTTTTTGGAAAAGATCGGTTAATAATTGGGGGATGAAATGGACCAAAAACGTTATTTTTGTCGATTTTTCTGGTCGCTCCAGAGGCCGCAATTATATCCCAAACACCGCGAATTTTTGCATGGAGAAGGGGATCGGGCCAACAAATAAGCATGCCTGTTTTGATAAGGATCGGTCAATATTTAGCGGGTCAAATGGACCCTGACTTTTGTGTGAAAAATGACAAAATTTGTATTCTATAGCGTATATATTTACTACTGAAGGACATAGGCGCGAGGAGTTGATCGTATATCCAAGAGGAATGGTTGGCCTATAAATTGATACCAATTATATTGCCGTATGTACTAAGATGTGGGAGTTACACGTAAATATTTACAGGTGCTTACTTATTCAGATATTATTTAGTAACCCATTACCACACTGGAGGGCGCAAATATAGCGCTGAGGTTCCAGTTATGGTCAAGGTCAACGCCTATAATTTTCTGCGATGATCAAATAATAATTTTGGGATGAAGTGGACCGAAAACTTAATTTTTTGTGTGTTTTTCGAGTCGATCAATTGCCAACAGCCGAACATCACAACACAACCCCCTGTAAAGGAACCTGGATAAGTAATTAGAAGGGCTGTACTAAATATTGGAATTATTCGGAAAATATGTCAGTGTAAGGAAGAGACGCTGTTGACCTCTAATCGGGCAAGAGAGTGCAACTATCACGAAATATTGCCCAGGCTCGGAATAAAACTCCGCAGAAAGTTAGAGATACGTGGTAGTTGTGTGTAGTGAGTACCCCATATACACTGCTATGTGCTATAGATACGCCTTTGTTAGGGCAACATAAAATTCATTTGGTCTTATCTGGTAGAAACATAAAATCGTACACACACACTTCAAAGCACAATAGACTAAATTTTCAAATGATAAGATAAACCATAGCAAGAAATGACGCCTAAACACTTGTTTAGAAATGCTTGTCAAATTACATTCATCCAACTGTGTGTGATAACAGCTAATCAATTTTGTTTGCAAAAAAATATAAATACAATAACTTCTCCTTAATCATATTCATCTATGATCGGACAGGAACACTTAATCCATTGCGGGCAAGTGTTGGAACAATGTCCAAATACTTGTAACGTTTTTGTACCACGCATACGCATGCGTGCCCATCTGAAGGAGTGTCCGCGTAATAAACGTCGTAGTGCCAGTTTAGAACGTCTGGATCAACAGGTGGATTATCGGGTACAGGTTGTGGAGAATGAAATCAATACTCTGCGCTCCGTGCTGAATGAGGAAATACGTCAACGCCTGCATCTCATCACTGATGTGGGGAATTTGCGAAAACAAAATCAGGTCATGGATGATTGGCAACAATCCACCAACCAAAGTCTGAAATCATTGCAAAATCGCCTCGACGAGGAAAACACACAAAGGACATTCGAAGTGGAACAATGCCAACAGGATTTTCGTTGTTGTTTCGATACATTGCAGGTTTGTTAGCCGACAACGGAAACAATATTCTTTGTTACTTTTTTCAACAATTGTTTTTTGTTTCGTTGTTCGACAGTCTTTAAAAAGCGAAATCCAAAATGAAATCGACGATCTGGAGAAACACATCAATCAAATGTCCTTGGAGTTAACACAGCATCAAAATCATTTAAACGATAACATCATGAAATTGGAGGAGACGGTGCTGCTGCATGAAAAAACTAATAGGTTTGTTTTTTCAAGGAATAAACGTTTTTGTTTTGATCCATATTAGTTCTGTCTGTTGCTGTTTAATGCCAAACCATTAAAACAAATATTATTCTGTCTCTTTTTGCCTCCTCGATAGGGATAAATTTATTGAAATTGAAAATTACCTGCAATCAATCAATTTGGATTTAAATGCCAAATTTGTTCCCGAACATGATGTAGCCAAATACGCTGCCTTAGATCTGGAAGTGAAGGGAATGAAACACATTGTCTGTGATACGGAGGAACGTTGTGAAAAATTGGAGACGTTGGTCACTCAGATCGACCGTAATTTACATCACACAATGCAATTGGTAAATGATTTGGAAAATCATATTGCCACCCAGCAACGTTTAACGAGTTATATTAATTGTAGAGGTAGGATGGTTATCATATGTTCTCTTCATTTATTACAATTCATAACTTTCTATTCGGGATTGGGAAAGACAGTAGGATAATTATTTTTAAAGGTTTTATGAAATGACAATAAGTTTGTTTGGATTTGCTTGGATGTATTCCCACAACATTTTCAAAATATTAATTAATGTAGTCCAAATGGAAAATGAATAGGACATACAATTGTGAATATATTATAATCCCAATATTTTCAACGTTCCTTATATACGATTTTCGACCCTTTGTACATCACAGAATACGAACTGAGTCCGGAAACGTCTAAGCCTAGCACAAAAAGCGCGGTATTAACAGAAAAAAAGTTAAGTGTTTTGGAAACTTCTCCGTTATGAACACATTGTAAATTTTGTTTCGATCTGACAACTCCTTCATATAGAAACAGGTATTCAAAAAAGACACATCCTCAATTTGTTTACAATGGAAAAATTAGAAATGTGTGCTGTTATTAAATATTTACATAAATAAAATTTATCGGGACAAGAAATTCATAATGATATGGTGAATGTGTTAGGTGAAAGTGCTCCTTCATATGCAACAGTAAAAAATTGGATTGCTGAATTTAAACGTGGTCGTACAGCAACAACATATGAAATTGTAGCCAAAGGGGATGATATCTTATTAAATGATCGACGAATGAAAGTGTGTAAAATTGCTAATATCGTGGACATCTCAAATTTTCGAGTATATTTAATTTTGCATGAAGAACTACAGATGAAAGCAGTAAGGAAAACTCAAAGCCCACTTTGGGTACATACAAGACATTTTAATATCTACAATATACATTATATCTATTGGAGGACCATTGAGATGGAATCGGGCGAAATTAAATGTGCTATCTAGATAGATATTTGAACCAAATGAAAAAACCCCCTTACATATACCATTCTGAAATCAATGACAAATTGCATGCCAAACGGGCGGACTTGGATTCTTTGGTGTACCATTTGTATGAAATCGAGTAAAATTATGTATGGGAGCTATATATAAACACATGGACTTAATTGAGCAACCGTTGTATACCCCCTTTGTTTTTTGTTATCACTCTATATTCAATTTAATACCATCTGCCAAATTTCGTGTAAATCGAACAAACATCAGCCCTTCGGTGCACAATTTACATAAAATCGAACGAATTGTTTGTAAATGCCTTGTTAACCTCGAAGTGAGGCTCCAGCGAAATTCTCATACAGTTTATGTCGTTGGTCAACTAAGTACTTCGATTTGTTATAAGAGACATTTGGGTATGAACGGTTTTTTGTATAGAAGCAATAGCTTCTGGGGAGAATATCCCAACAAAAAACCAAGGGAACTGATGAGGAACAGTGGCGTGATCCGAAACTATAGTCTTCCCTGCCTTACCCCTCGGCAAACAATGCCATACATTCCCTACTAATAAATAGTTGTTTTTTTATAAAAACAACAAACTGGGATTCAGCCTGACTATTTTGCAAAAACAAAATACAAATGGTATCCCAAATAAACCGCCAACACTACTGAATTTCAACAAACCTTATCACAAATAATTTTTTCTTCAATTGCATTCGTTATGCAAAATTTTGTCTCAATCGGACAAACATTGGGAGTTTGGTGCATCATTCACAAAAAATCGGGCCAAACTATATATAAGAGCTATATCTAAATCTGAACCGATTTCAACAAAACTTCTCAGACATCAGTTTGGACCTAATTCAGTACTCTGTGCAAAATTTTGTCTCAATCGGACAAATATTGGAAGTTTGGTGCATTATTCACATAAAATCGGACGAAACTATATATGGGAGCTATATCTAAATCGGAACAGATTTTAACAAAACATCGCAAATATCAGTCTGGACCTAATCCAGTACTCTGTGCAAAATGTTGTCCTAATCGGACAAATATTGGGAGTTTGGTGCATCATTCACATAAAATCCCAAACAATATATGGGAGCTATATCTAAATCTGAACCGATTTTCTCCAATTTCAATAGGGTTCGTCCTTGGGCCAAATAAGTGAACTGTGCGAAATTTCATCCAAAGCGGATCATAAATGCGACATGTACTTTGTTCACAAAAGTGTATGGACGGGCGGACATGCGTAAATCGGCTCAGAAAGAGATTATATGCATATTCTTAAAATGAATCAATCTCGATTCCTTTTGCCTCTTACAAACATATGCACAATGGCATAATACCCTCTACCCTCTAGGAATGAACATTTCTCAAGCTTGTTGGGATCGTTTTAAGCGAACTAAAATGGATATTAAGCGTCGTTTCATAACTGCTGATGAGACATGGATCCGACACTATACTCCAGAGACAAAAGAACAATCCAAACAATGGACTGAAGCTGGAGGAAGTGCCCCAAAGAAGGCAAAAACAATTCAATCGGCTGGTAAGGTTAAGACAACGGGTTTTTTTAGGACTTCAAAGGTATTTCATTGATTGTCTATCTTCAAAAGGGTAAAACAATAAATTCACAGTACTGTTGCAATCTTTTGGATTAATTAAATGTAAGAATTCGAGATAAAAGTTCTGGCTTACAACACACAAAAAAAAAACAATTTTTCATCAAGCACAGTTGCTAAAATCATAAAATTAAAATACGAGTTGCTTGACCACCCACCTTATTCTCCTAACTTAGCTCTCACTGTCTTTCACTTGTTCCCAAAACTAAAAAAATTCTTGATGGCAAGCGTTTTATTTCAAATGAAGATGTAATTATAGTTGTAAACCACTATGTTGAAAACCTTGAGGAAAACTATTTTAATCAAGGGATAGAATTGCTAGAAAAGCGTTGGACTACGTGTATTGAAGTTTCAGGAGATTATATTGAAAAATAAAAATATTTTAGAAACCTAACTATTATCTTCCATTGATAGGCTAAGAAGTTTCCGAACCGCGCCCAAAACAAAACATTGTGTAATTCGAACAAAGATAGGCTCGTTGAGCATTTAACAAAATTGTATAAACTTATGTTGTTAAGTGTAAAATTTATTTCAGAGATAACAAACTGGTGGATTTTTCGAGCACCAGATGTGCCAAATAAGCTTGTTGACCTAGCCACCGTGTTGGTAATAGGCCCAACGGTCTACATGATTTTTTGTATGATTTTTTCCAGATAATAAAAATCCAAGAATCCAATCAGTAAAGATACGAAGTAGTTGATGATCGTCCGGTTCATTTTCTTGTGTTAACTTAACTTCAGCCTAATCTATAGATCGTGCTCTTCAAACTTGACAGGCTTTTGACGATGATTTCGCTCTGTTACAAGAACCCCATGTAATAATTGTTTTTATCTTTTTTTAATGTAGTAATGTAGTTGCTACACTTTATCAACAATTTCCTGAGGGATCAAAATGCTATAACTCCTAAAGGAATGATTTAATAGATTAGAAATGTTTACCTTATTTTAGTTAGGAGTATAGATTGATAAAATTATAATAGCGGCATCTATATAGTGGGATTTCTGAATTAGTCTGTTCCATCAATCCAACTATAGCTTTCCATCTCATCATTAAATAACAATATAATTAAAACAATTATTTTATTTCAAAAAAGGCCACTTGGTTTGGAGAATCAAAGACTTCTCCAAAAAGTTTGAAGAAGCTCGACAATACGATACGATACTGCACAGTGCCATGTTTTCAAATAAACCGTTTGGTTATGCTTTAAGAGTAAGTTGCAATTGCCCTACAGAATATTTTAAATATATTAATAATCATTACAATATGAATTTTTAGCTTGACATTTATCTAAATGGCAAGGGAACGTGGAAGGGTCGCAATATGATCGCCTGTCTCAATGTTATAGCCGGTGAATATGACCCGTTGCTGCCATGGCCATGCCGTCTACAAGCCGATGTTATTATACGAGATCAAACAATAAATGCCGCGCAACCGGAGAATTATGTAAAAACTGTTTTGGTGCGAAAGAAAAGTGATGATTACATACAGACGAAACAATTCTTCCACATACCGCATACGATATTGAAACAACCGAATTATGTGAAGAATGATTGTCTATTTGTTGAAGTAAGAATTTTGAAATGAAATAAAAATTTATTTTTTTAAATGTAGTTTTATTTGGATGGATGAATTGTGTAAAATGTATATATTCGTAAAATTTAGGTTTTAATAAAAACAAATTAGTTATTTTATTTAAATTTTTTAAATATTTTATTTTAAAATTGTATATCCAATCGAAATAGATTACAACTACTGTCAAGGGACCGGCGATATTTGTTGCTATAACCGATTTGTCGTTATAAAAATATAAAATAAAGAGCAAAACGGTACTTTAAATATAATTTTCATAACATATATGTCGTAATAAATGGTGTCGTTATAAACGATTTCAACTGTATTAAATTTTGAAGAAAAATATCTATTGTTACTTTATTTTAGTAAAAACAACGGAAATATGTAACAATTTGTACATGAACCACCCTGTACCAATTTACCGAGGACGCAAACCATACATATGCATTCGTGTTAAAAAGCTTCTGTTGAACAGTCAAACCCAATGATGGAAAATCGAAATGTTAATATAGTACTAAAACATTTTTAATTTTTTTGATTTAGTAGTTGTGTTCCGTTGTGTGCAATTTTATATGAAAATTATATTCGGAAAACGAAAATTTATAATAATTTTCTGGTAGGTATTATATATGTAAGAAAATAAAATTTTCTGATTGTCGGAATGGGAAAAAACAGCAAACAAAAGTATATGAGTGCATATTTCACTCGTCTACATTTTGTCGACAACGGAAAATGCTAGCAAAAGTTTTTATGATGCTAGAGAACAATATTGTCATATAAAAACCTTCACCACTTTCGGTACATACCACAGATGCTCATATGTACAACATCTTTGTAAGACCATTGAAATGGAATCGGACTAAGATACCCGCGTGAATTACAAATATGGTACGTTGTGCAATAATTCTCCCTAAGCGGACAAAATTTAGTTATTTGGTACATTATTTTGATGTTTGGGTACATTTAAATCTGAACGGATTTCAAATTTAAAAATGAGCATTCTAGACTAAATTCCTTACCCTCGACTAAATTTCATAAATACAGAACAAACATAGACTCCTTGGTGCGCCAATTACATAAATTCGATCGAAAATATATGGGAGCTATATCTAAATCTGAACCGATTTCAAGACAAATTTCGCGGACGTCAAACTGCAGTAATTTCAGTACTCTGTGCGAAAGTTTGTCTCAATCGGACACACATTGGAGGAAACTGTATATGGGACCTATAACTTTGAATCGATTTCGACAAAACATCGCATACATTATTCCAGACCTAATTCAATATGCTGTGCAAAATGTTGTCTCAATCGGACCAATATTGGGACTTTGGTGCACTATTTACATAAAATTGGATGAAAATATATATGTGAGATATACCTAAATCTGAACCGATTTTCTCCAATGTACCAAATGTCCTACAAATCGGTTTATAAATGCGACATGTACTTTGTTCACAAAAATACATGAACGAACGGACATGTAAAAATCGACTCAGAAAGTAATTCAATGCATATTCTCAAAAACCATACGTTTATCTCGATTCCTTTAGGCTGTTTCAAACATATGCGCAAAGACATAATACCCTGTACCACAGTATGGTGAAGGGTATAATAATTAATTGCGTGTCGGAAAACTTTTAAAACGAGTTTTTATGAGCGCTGTTCAAAGGTGTCACACGTTCAAACGTTCCCCCTGTCCCCTATTTACAATTTTCAAAATTGTACATTTATTAAAAATGTCCTTTAACAAGTAAAAATGTGTCAGTCGGTGTTGCCGACAGATATATACCCTAAGCCTATGGTTTGCGGAGGTCTTCGGAATTACACACAGGTGTGAATATTCCGATCGACGGGTCACACCTTCGGACTTGATCTAGTCTTGAGTAAAAGTAGGTTGTGCAAAGTTTGGTCCAAATCGGACAATCCATTCGTCTGATATTGGATAATTTTCACAAATTGAGGGGGAGGTACCTGTAGGAGTGGAAATTGTTTTTTTTTTCTAAAATGTTGGTCATTTTGTAGGGGAGGTACCAAAAAAATTGGACCTATACAAGTATTTCGCATCTGCAAAGTTTGAATGAAATCGGTTACTCACTTCGAAAGTTATCGTTCGCATCAGCCGACCAGACAGACGGACGGACATTCGTAAATCGACTACACATTGTCTGAATAAGATTTGGTCCAAAGAAACATGGGTCCTAACTTTGACATTTTTTTAATTGTTTACTATATACAGAAACTTTTTTAACATTGAGAAATAAAAATTATAGCTTGAAACATAGGAAAATTTTAATGCGTCAATGTGAAATAGAAATAATACCCAAAATTTTAACTAATATTAGAAAAAAAAAGAATTCTAAAAGAGTCATATTGAGCTGATGGTATATTAACTCTGATACGACATCTAACGTATCTTATAATCAGTGAGCAAAGTCGTATACTCGGACGTGGTCGACCATGTGATACCCTACAATACTACCACGAAAATTTAACATTCTGCGGTCCAATATTCTGAGCCTAGGCAACCCTTAACCGATTATAGGTCAACAGTTTCACTTTCTAAACCTTTTCCACTTTTCCAAACCTTGTTTTCCCAAGGTGAATATTTACGCCATAAAATAAAAATTTGGCCACTTTAGGTTTTGGTTGATTTGACCCTGAGAATATTGTCCGACCATCATCTAAGTATTTGGTCAGATCCCCTTCACCGTGTAAAATGTGTTATGTTCTGTATATAATAATGGCTTCTAGAGCGACTATAAAATCCGACAAAAATTAAGTTTTCAGTTCATGCCACCCCCTAAAAATCATCGCAACATCACTGGAAATCACCTTGATCATTACCGGAACTTCATGTAAAACTTCAAAGTGATCAGCGCGACATTTTCGCCCTCTAGTGGGGTAAAAGTAATACTAAACAATATCATAATACATAGACATCTTTAAATATTTACATATAACTCCCACATCCGAGTACATACATCAATATAATTGATATTAATTTGGAGGTCAGCCTCTCCTCTTGAGTATAATATCAACTCCTCGGGTTAATGTCCTCCAGGACTAAATATATAAGCCATAGAATAAACAATTTGTCATTTATAATTTCTCACAAAAGTCTGGGTCCTTTTGACCTGCTAAATATTGACCGATCTTCTTCAACAAAGTTTTCTATGGTTACACCCCTTTCTTGGTGTAATATTTCGTGATGTTCGGTCATAATTATGTCGTCTAGAGCGTCCAGAAAATTGAACAAGAATAAAGTTGTTGATCAATTTCAACCCCTAAATATTAACGGATCTTTACCAAAAACAATACGGGTATTCTATGGCCAGAGCCCATCCTGGAAACACAATTTCGTGACTTGGTCCATAACTGCATCGTGTTTACAAATTATAATGGACAGACGGACGGACAGACACACGTGTGTAGATCGACTCAGCTAGTCGAGATACCGATCATGATGAATCCACCTGGAAACATATTTCTTCAAAAATCCACCGTAAAAAATATAAGTGAATATTTTTACTGTGGCTTTTTAAATCCATAAATTCCATAGTAAAATCAAACAAAAAACAAATATCATTTTTAATAGTTGTTTTATTTGTATTTATTTATGTATGTATATTTGTAATGAACAATATGACAGTATAACAGCTAGAAAAGACACTGTAATGAGATTTCATTGGGATTATCATTATTATTGTATCAAAAGTGGCATTAAATGCATTTCCTTTTTAGTAGTTGTAGATTAGATGTTCATTTCATTGTTAGTCAAATACTCTTAAGTTTATAAATTTTATAGGAATTAAAAAGGCAAACAACTAACTATTGATTGATTGTTTTGTGTGAATAATAAAGTACATTACATTTATATATAACATGGGAACATTTTCAATATTTAAAAGTTGTTTGTTTTGAAATAATGAATATAAAATATAATTTTTAACATAAAATTTCCAGAATTTTTAATTTTTTTATATTCATTTTCAGTTTTTATAAAAAATGGTATACGATTTTGTTTTAATATTTAATTTTGTCACTGGTCCAATTTAAGAAATATATATTCAATGTTTATTTAATACAAATAGTTGTTGTTTTTTATGTTATCATATAATATAGTAAGCTTTTAAAAAATGTTTAGAAAAAATACTTGTAGATCTAATAGAGTTTCCTTTTTGTGAGAAAAATATTCGATTTGTTTTTATTCAATATTAATAATTGTTTTTTTAATGGACTTTGCCCGCCCTCATTTTTTATTTTGTATAACAGTATGTGTATGTATGTTGATTTTGTGATCTTAAGAATTTGAACGTTGTTCCCCAACCAATGCATACAGAGCATGTTTATAATGTCCTGAGGTATCACCCTTAATCCAGCTCTTTAGACTCTTGCCGTACATACGTTCAAAGGCAGCCTTGATGTCAGCCATATCGATCTGTCAAAGGATGGGAATAAATATTAATATATATATATATATATATATATATATATTATAGTGTTGTTTTTTTATAATTACCTCACACCGGGTGATAATCACACGTATTAATTGTTTGTCATTGGTACCAATGCCAGCCATACTCTTGTGCAAACGTGAAGCAAAATATTCAGCCTTGTTGTTAACACAACGACAAATGGCAATTAGACCCTCCATAATATCACCAGAGAATTCCTTTTTAATTGCCTTCTCCAATGAATGTCCGGTCATTGTTTCGTATTCTTGGAAAATCTAAAAAAAAAAAATAGATGTAATAATGTTTTTAATGGGACTCGAGATATATTTTTACTATATTCTCAATATAAAACCAGTGAGCAGAGCAGAGTCGGACGGGGCCGACCATATGATACTCTACACAACTTCCACGAAAAATTTACTTTCTGTGGATCTATATTCTGAGCTTGGAAAATATTTCGCGATATTTGAACCATCTGGACCAACTAGAGGCCGACAATTATTACTAATGTTCAGAACAGCCCTTCTAATTTCTGTCCAGATTTCCTTCCCTTGTGTTGTGATTTTCTTATTCCCATTGGAGCCTATAGATCGACTCGAAAAAACATAAAAAAATAAGTTTTCGGTCGACGTCATCACATTATAATTATCTGATCGCCAGGCGTTATCCTTGACCATAACTGGAACTTCATGGAACATTTTAAAGAGATCAGCGCAATATTTCCGCCCTCTAGTGTGGTAAAGGGTTACTAAATAACGTCTGAATACATAAGCACCTGTAAATATTTAAGTGTAACTCCCACATCTGAGTACACACAGCCATATAATTAGTATCAATTTAAAGGTAAACCACTGCCCTTGGATATACCAACAACTTTTCGGGTCTATGTCCTTCAGGGGTAAATCTATACGCTATTGAATTCAAATTTTGTAATTTTTCACACAAAAGTCAGGGTCCATTTGACCCGCTAAATATTGACCGATCCTTATCAAAACAAGGCATGCTTATTCTTTGGCCCGATCCCCTTCTCTATGTAAAAATTCGCGATGTTTGGGCCATAATTGCGGCCTCTAGACCGACCAGAAATACCGACAAAAATTTAGTATTTGGTCCATTTCATCCCCTAAACATTAAGCAGTCGTTACAAAAAAACAATAGGGGTCTTCATTGGGCAGAACCCATCCTACATGCAAAATTTCGTGAAGATTGGTCCATAACTGTGGTCTGTATCGTGTTTACAAATTATAATGGACAGACGGACGGACGGACACACATGTCTAGATCGACTCAGATAGTCGAGATATGAGTATCGGTATTCTTAAAGGTGGGTCTAGGACCAATATTTCTCGGCGTTACAAACTCTTGGGGCTGCACAAAGCTATAATACCCTGACAACATAGTTGTGTAGGGTATAAATATTATATTTTCCAAATTAATTTTTAAAGTTAATAATTGAGGACATAATTTTTAACAAAAAAATCTAACTGACTACCAAGGTAAAAGGGTCGTTAATTTCCGCCGGACCTAGCAATCGTGATGTTTCTGGAATTCAGATGAACATCTGCTACTACAACGACAGTAACAACCTCCCATCCCCTCCAATGGTATTTCACACTTGCCTACTAGGGCTGAGCCAGGACAGACCGGCAACAACAACCTCCCGGTCGCATATGAAACATAGAGTTTAACCATGAGGTTGCGTTTCCATCTTTTAAGATTCAGAATCTATCTTCAAGTTGTCACTTCCAATTGTTTGAACCGTCTTCGTGTGACGTGAGCTATTAAATAGCCTCTCAAACCTACAGCATCTAAAAGGACGGGTACCACATCCTAGGCAGTTATTCTGCTGATGACCATTAATCGGCATCCAATACGAATGGAGACGCTGGCGCATATCAAAACTACTCTAGTCCCCCTAGGCAGCTGACGCTTTTTAACTACTTCAGTGTTTATTTTATTCAGACCTGAACGATAGACTTCATAATCTAGAAATTCTCTTTTTATATCTTTGGATCTCTCTCTATAGATTATGCAGATTTTGACACGAATTTTGTCCTGCAAGCCACTCTCTGAAACACGCAGGCATGTACTACATCATGGCTTCACTGGAGTCATGAGTTGGCAATCTGTCGAAGTTTGCTAGGAAGAGTTCTGTCAGCCTTGAATAATTCTTTCTAAGTCTACCATTAACCATTCGATATGGTGAAATGCAGTGGATACTGTGTCACACTACAAACCGATGGGTTTCGGATCCCACAGTAGGTGGAAAAATATTTCCAAGTTTAAATGCATTAGAATCTAACGAATCCGAATAACCAAACAAATAAGGATAATACAAAAAATGATACTACTTAGCTCGAGTTAATGGTTCACAGGAGTCATGAGGCACCATGTTGTGGAGGTCTTCATGTTGATGATCTGCAACTGGATAACTTTCCCTGTAATCGGGGATAGTTTTCCACTTGTCATAAGAATTCGCCACAGACATCCATAGCACCACCGTATTTTTGGTTCAGTGTTCCCATTTTATGTGTGGAACTATGTTGCTATGTGACCTCATATTGATATTCTAGAACTGAAATCGGCCTCTGCGATTCACATTTGTTGGCATTTTAGCGTGGCTTTTGTAGACATCTAGAACGCTATTGACAAATTGAGGGCTTTAGTCAGGTTCTATGCTATTGTTACAGGAGTTCATAGTCATAGGGGTCCACGCATATCAATAGAGATTGTCATGATACATAAGTGAACTGTTACCCGTTAGGTAAACGAGAGTTATAAAAAACGGCGAAGATCATAACGGTTCAAATTACAGCTTCCCTGATGAGTCCACCATTATGTCCAAATTTGCATATACAAGTATTTTACTTATGAATTTACCTAATTATATTAGGTATTTGTTAATTATTGAAATATTGACCTATGAAGTGGCGATTTCAGAAGGGCCAGATCCGCAGATCACTTTTCAAAATGTATCGAATTTAGGAGATAGTCCACATCTACTACAACTTACATTTTACTACACATTTCGGGCAAATATAACTTAACTATACCAGAATCAATAAGATTTTTCAAATGTTGACAATTTTATAAAATATATTTTTTGTCTAATTTCTCTCAATGCTTACCAATTTCAATTGCTGATAATTGCGTTGGCACAAAATCATATTGAACATACTTTCATCGGTGCCGACACGCAGTTCACCAGCCTTTAACAATTCACGAGCATCACTTTGGGCGGCGGCACGATCAGTGTGGCCACTCTCATCACGAGCAGCGGTGCACAATGAGACCAACAAGCGTTTGAAATTACCCGATGTTTCGGATTTCAATTCCGATTCCAAATGGGCACCATATACTATAACAAAAAATTAATAAATAAATAATTAATTTATACATCTCTAGAATAATCTCTCTCCACTTACATCTTAAATATTGATTTTTAATCGTGTGAATCTCATGATTCGATAGAGTACATAAAATTTCAATGAGAACATCTTCATCAGTACCAATACCAGCCATGGCATCATTCAGCTCATGACAATAGAAATCAACAATTGGACGCAACAATCCCACCAATAACTTTTCGAAATTTCCACTTGTCTCGGAGCGTATATCCTCAATAAGATCTTTGCCAAAATGTGTTTTATACTGGCGTTGAATTTCCTGAAAAAAAAAATCATTTTTAATTATACATTTTATTAAATAAAAATATAGGGAAATAATTTTCCATACCTGTCTCTGTTCATTGGAACGACGGCATATGATGTTGATGAGAGCATCCTCATCGGTGCCAAAGCCCTTCATGGCCTTGCGTAAATCATGGGCATCTTTGACGGGATCAAAATTCTGGGCTGGGAATACAGTTGGAGTTCCCTGTAAACAACAACAAATTGTAATAATTAATAATTTTAATATTTAAGTGAATTCACAAGGGGATTACAAACTCTACATTTTGAATTGGAGTTAAAAATACGGGAGCAAGTTAAAGTTATTTCTAAAACGAAACTTTACAGGGCTGTGTTTGATAAACTTGCAGGAATTGATGTTAAACAAAATAATTACTTTGGAAATTTATACTATAAAACTACACCAACAATTTAAGTGGAATTTAAAGAGGATTAAAGTTGGTATAACTTAAATTACGAGTCTGGTTTAGACCGTTCGCGTGATAGTACAAAATTAATTTCCAGCAAAATTTTGATCATTTTGTGTGGAAGGTACCAGAAGGAGTGGACCGATAATCCCCAAATTCGAACTTAAACTTAGTTTGGAAGAAATAGTACGATATCCACAATTTGGATGAAATCAGTTACTCCCTTCAAGAGTCGCTCAGTATGTATCAGAGGATCTAATTCTTATTGAGAGATTATCAGCCATATACAAATATTCCATAGACATTGTATCATAAAACGTTTGCCAAATTTATGAAAATTTAAAAAGATTGAACTGACTTATATGTGATGAATTTGGCATATTTATATTTAGGATGTTAAGCCATTTTATATCCCATAATCCACACCTAGGAACCACAATCAATGCAGAGGAAGCAGGTACATTATCTAGATGATATAATTACAACGTCTGATCAAAAAGGAACATTTAACGTCTGATTTAAAGCAATCAATGCAAGGTTTACACCCTCCACCATATGATGTATATTCAAAATATCTTAAATGACAGGATACAAACGCCATCTAGAGGGGATTGGCAACAGTTAATAAGCAAAGATCCCAACCACTGGCCAACATTCAAGAGGGCGTTGTTTCTAAGCAACGAGAGACGTCAGTCCCGTTATCTAGCACAGGCTACAGAAGACCAATCAGCTGGAATATGAATTTCATAATCAAACCCAAGAACTAACAGAGTATGGATGTGCTTTATGGAAGCCTTATGCTCCCAAGATGAAAAACAGAAAAAAGTATTCAAGTTCACACTGTTGCCGCATTGTTGGTGACATACCGACCTATTGCTTTATAAGAATTTCTTTGTCTGCATATCGTTGAGGATACTTTTCCTATTTTTTGACTTCTCAATTTTATCATCGTAGAGTGTAACAGGGTCTGATCACAAATGAATAATTTAACTTCTGATTTAAACCAATAAATACAAGGTTTATTTAATTTTTTTCCATTATCGGAAATGTCAAATATTAGAGACTGTTCTGTTGGAAAATTCGGCTAAAATCCACAAGATATCGAAAATTAGGCGGGATCTTTTAAACATGAAACTATATTGGCAATCTATACTAATAAACGATTTAAGTGATTGACTTACTGACTGATTTAACGATTCATCAACGCCCAGACGAAAGGGCTGAAGCTAGAATCTTGAAATTTTGGGTGAGGGTCACTATTAATCCAAAGGTGTCAGATAATGCTGGGATTTTTGAAATTCGTACTAGAACGAGAAGTTCTAAATTGAGGAACTGATAGAGCTAGAATCCTTCAATTTGAAATGAGGGTCACTGATGGATTGTAGAATAGATGTAGCAAAGGTTATTTTGAAATTCGAACGTTAAGTATCCGAAAAGTACTAAATTTGGTACAATTTCGTAGCATGTGAATGGATAGAGCTAAAAACTTGAAATTTGCAATGCAACTTAAAGTTGAGAAGTAGGGTCGATATAAGGAGGTAGTTTTGGTAGCGTTTACTCATTTATACGAAAAGTACTAAACAGTACTATATTTGGTAGAATGAATTTGGAGAAATTAACGGCGGAGTGTAGAGAGTAGTTTTAGAAATGTGTACGAAATGTACTAAATGGTACAATTTAAATTTGAATCGATAGAGCTGATATCCTGAAATTTGGAGTTATGGTCACTATTGGGTTCTAGGATTCGAATATGTAGGAAGTTTTGGAAATTTGTACTAATGTGTACGAAATGATACTAAATGTGAATTTATGTGAACCATTAGAACTGGAATCTTGAAATTTGAAGATAGGATCATTGTTAAGGAGTAGGATGGGAATATGTATGAAGTTTTGGAAATTCGTAATAATGTGTACTATATGGTACAAAATTTGAATTTTGGTGAACTGATAGGGCTGGAATCCCATTGGAATTATTGTTGGAGTGTAAGACTGTGGTCTAAAGGAAGTTTTGAAATTTGAAACTAAATGGAACCAAATGCTGATTTGGGTGAACCGATGGAATTGGAATCTTGACATGTGGAGTTAGGGTCACTGTTGGGGTGTAAGATTGGGATATGTAGGAAACTTTGGAAATTTATACTAATGTGTTCTAAATGGTTCTAAATTTGGTACGATTTGGAAATTTATACTACTATATTGTACTAAATTTTGTACAATTTGAATTTTGGGTGAACTGATAGAGCTGGAATCACATTGGAATCATTGTTGGAGTGTAAGATTGGGGTCTGTAGGAAGTTTTCGAAATTTGTACTAAATGGTACCAAATGTGGTTATGGACATTCTTGACATTTAGAGCTCAGATTTTGTAAAGAATATTTTTCAAGGATTGTTAAAACGTAGATTTTTTAAAGAATATTTTTTCAAGGACTATATTAGAGCGTAGAAAGAAAGTTCTTTATATCCTCCATATACCTACCATCCAATCCATTGTTAGGGCTTAAATGACAAATTTTCAAGGCACACGCAATCAAGTAGTACCTTAAAAATAACTCAGATTTATAAACTGAAAACGAACATGTTTTGAATAAATATTTATATGAAAATCCCCAGTCATTCTAGCCGAATCATTAATTCCCAATAAGCGAACCACTTGTGGTCGATCTGGTCAGTAGCCAGTACAACTATAATAAAATATGACTCAGATATAATTTCACGCAATCTCAGGGGATTTTACAAAAAAACAAACTGTCATACATATTTACGTTCATATGTGTTTGTATAAATGAAAATAATAACAATAATTTCTAGCTTAAGCACAATCAAAAGCTTACCAAGTAAATACAATTTCACAAGCTTACAATTATACAAAATTTGAGATAAATTATTTATACATATGTATACACATTTATACATACATCTTTATGCGTTTCATATGTAAACATTCCCGCACCATAGCAATTTTCTTCAATTGAAATTTCCGAAGCAATTTCATTATTTAAATCATCTTCGGTGAAACTTTCAATAAATCCAATATTCTTTAGAAAATTTATAGTGGCAATTAAAAAGAAAAATCCCAAAAAGATTTAAAACAAAAAACAACAAATCAACAAGAACTAATTAAAAACAACGAAAAAAGAAAACCAAAAAAAAAATACCCAAGAGAAAGAACAAAACAAACAAATTAGCTAGGACACTAACCTCTCTCCGTGGAGCAGTATAGTGATGTTGTATGGGATGGCCTTGCCTTTGGGCCAACTCTTCGAAACAATGTTGTATATTGCCAGCCGGCGATTCTAATCCCATTGAGGTTCTAACCGGTGTATAGCCATGATTGGGATTGTATGCTGTGGGATGAGTGGGTGTCTGGCCGCCAAATGGTGTTGATGGATTATGATGATAATGAGCTGGTGATCCAGTCGATGTGGGATAGGGTGTTTGTTGATGGGGATTGTGAGGGTAGGATGAGCCCGGATAGGGTGAGGATTGATTTCCATTACTTGGATATGGTGTTGGATGGGGATATGGTCCCGCAGTGGGATAGGGTGCTTGATTAGTTGGAGGATAGGGTGAGGGATTAGATGTGGGATAGGGTGATGTATTAGTAGGAGGATAGGGAGCATTTGATGTGGGATATGGGGCATGATGTGGTGTTGTCGTTGTTGATGGATAATGTGAATTTGTTGGCGGCTGCTGTTGTTGTTGGTGTGGATGTTGGGTTGGTGCTACCCAACCAGCACCAAATGGTACACCGGCTGGCATTCCCGGTTGTGGATTGTAACCAGGCGTTGATGTGGGAGGATGTGGTTGTGGCATGCCGGAACCCTACAAAACGAAAAGAGTTCAATGACAGATCAGACATTTGTGCAACACATATGGAGTTGGTGAAAAGGTGGGAGGATAAAATGAATGTGGAATTTTTGTTCTAAGGGCCGAAATGTCAGAGAATTATGATTGCTGTTTTGTAAGTGCGGAAATGTGGCGAATTTTTGTTTTTAATGTCGATTGTAGACATACAACACACAAACGTTGCAAATTATTTTAGAAATATTATTTCCTAAGCGGTTCTAATTAAAATCAAATTTAGTATACAAAAACCCCCAACATGTCAGGTTTACAACTAGAAATTTTAAAGGACCAATAATCAACATCATACAGCCCACATTACTGAATAAACATTTTTTTTCGCTCAGTTAAGATATCAATTGGAAATTTATTCAGAATTCCAATAGTTTCAATTTTTGTTAACATTATATTAATAATGTGAGGGAAGTTGTTCTGTTTTTATATTTAAAAGCCTTCATTCCTTGTTCCAGAGGCAATGTCTTTTAATGAATTCCCCCCCTTAAAGGACCCAGAAGAGTCTGAAGTCTTAGAAGATTCAATAAAATGTTGTCCACTGAAAATTAATCACTTGGCAAAGAAATAAACAGTTACAGAATTCAATGAAATATGGACAAGTGACTCATTAGCACTTGATGTGTATTATATTTTAAATAGCTTGGGTGCTGATAAAAATTATAAATTATTCAAAAGTTATTTATTTATACAATATCTTACAATATTTGCCACATGCCACACCACATCGTCTTTATTATAAACCACAAAATGAAACCAAAATATGTTTATCTTAATTTAAAACAAATAAATTTAAAAAAAAAAAATACACTTATGAATAGATGTTATGTATAAAGGGTGTTTCAATATTTTATATTGAGAATCAAGAGAAAACAAATATTAAAAAATAGATGTCTTAATATGTTTTGTAATAATTAATATTTCTTTAACAAAATAATTGTCAAGGAATAGTTATCCAATATTAACGGAGTGGATTTTTTAAGAATATTTTTTCAAGGACAAATACATGGCGTGGATTTTTTAAAGAATATTTTCAAGGACCAATACAAGGCGTGGTTAAGGATTGTTTTAAGGAACATTAAGAGCATTAATGTTTTAAAAATTGTTTTTGAATTGACAATTAGAGCGTAGATTTACTGAAGAATGTTTTGAAAGGACGATTAGAGTGTTGATTTTTAAAAATTATTTTCGAAAGGACGATCAGAGCATGGATTTTTTAAAAGGCTGTCAAAACATAAGGCGTGTATTTGTATAGAAGATTGTCCGTAAGGATTATCAGACCCATAAGGCTTGTGTTTTCAACAAGACTTTCGGAGCCATAATGCGCCGATTTTTAGAGAAGATTGTCATAGCCATAAGGCGGGATAAGATTGACATCGCCAAAATATTCTATTTTTTTTAAAGATTTTAGAGAAGAGTGTCACTACTGAGCAATTTTTAAAGAAGTTTCTATAATTTAAGCTACGAAAAGCGTACATTTGTTAAATTGAGTCGCAAAACGTATACTTTTTCAAGAACAATCATAGGGAGATGATGTATTCGTCAGGGTGATCATATACACTGTCAGAGCCACAAAGAGTGGATTTTATCAGATTGATAAAAGCCCGAGCATGTATTTTTTAAAGATTGAATTATGATTTTTTGCCGGGACTGTCAATGCCACATCGTAAATTTTTGTTACGGGTGTCAAAGTCAAGATAACGGTCTTTAACACTTTGTGGCCCAATGTCTTTGATGCCAAAATGTTTTAGAGCTTATATTTAACTTCTCGGATCTAGGTCCTTCAGGGGCAAATATATACGCCATAGAATACAAATGTTGTCATTTTTCACACAAAAATCAGAGTCCATTTGACTCGCCAAATATTGATCGATCTTTATCAAAACAGGCATGCTTATTCTTTGGCCCAATCACTTTCTCCATGTAAAAATTCGAGATGTTTGGGCCATAATTGCGGCCTCTGGAGCGACCAGAAAAGCCGACAAAAATTAAGTATTTTGTCCATCCATTTATTAACTAATCTTTAACAAACACAAAGGGGTCTTCATTGGGCTGAACTCTTCCTATATGCAAAATTTCGTGAAGATTGGTCCATAAATGTGTCCTGTATCGTGTTTACAAATTATAATGGACAGACGGACGGACGGACAAACATGTTTAGATCGACTCAGCTAGTCGAGATATGACGATCGGTATACTTAAAGGTGGGTCTAGGACCAATATTTCGCGGCGTTATAAAGTCTTGGGGCTGTACAAAGCTATAATACCCTGACAACATAGTTGTGTAGGGTATAAAAATCAAAATTTTGGTAAAGTTATATACTTTTCAATATAAAGAAGAGGGTAAATTTGTGTACAGTACTAATTTATGTATACAGTCCAAATTATTTAAATCGCTTCGTATTCAAATTTTACGAATTCTGCCATCTGAATTATTTTTGATTCTTGTAAAAATGAATATAGAGAATAATTTAACCCGAGCTGTGCTAGCGTGACCATATGGGCACACTCATAAGACGATCAATAAATCGTCTAAAAAATCTGTACCCGAGCAGTGCTAGTGTGAACATATGATCACAGCCCAAAGATGTATCCTGCCGATTAGGAAAAAAGGATACAAACCAAATTTTTGGATTCGGTGACCCACAATGCAGAGACGCGGAAAGTTGCGTCCCAAAATTCGAAAAAATAATTACAGCACTATTCGGGTTAAAATGATTTTTCTGTCGATTTTGCATTTGGTTTTCTTGATATTGGACTTTAATTTTTCCGAAAGAATGTACTGTATTTCCCGAATGCAAGGATGTAGCGATCAAATTTGGTGTATATCCTATTTAGGATAGTTGCATTAAATCTCTGAACATAAATTTGTTCCAATATTGGGGAAAAATTCGGGGTTCAATTTTTTTAATTCTCGAATTCTAGAGTCTTCAAGACATACATTCGACATAAAGAGAAACGTCAACATGAAAAGCAAGAATGGCAAACATATGGAGGTAGAACCTTCCAGCAACAACAGTGATAGGATTCACCTCCTACCGGGGTTCAACCTCAAAAAAAAAACAACATGGAGCTATCATATATATTTTTATTACATTCAGACAAGAAGGACATAATTTAGTAAAAAAAAAACTTATGTCGGAGAATATTTGTATTCTCTCGATTTCCATACATGAAACACCCTTTACACAAAATAATATCTATGTTTTATATTTCAAACACCATAAATTATAAATTTATTTTACAATATAATTTAATATTTAACTAATACTTACAAAGGGATACATGTTGTTGTCTTGTTTTCTTTACTTTAAACTGCAAAAAATAGAATCCAAAAAGTTGTTAATCTGAAAAGATAAGAAAACAAATAACAGCAATTAATTAAGTAATTGTTAATAAATTAATGATAAGAAAATGTCAATAGACTTGTTCAAACATGTCTATAATTGTCGATAAGCTTTCACTTTTTCAAATAGATTCGTTGACATTTGGTGTGTAGTATATTTTTTATTTGTTTGTTGTTGTCACGTTTTAAATTTGTCTGTTTTCTGCTCAGCCAAGTGGTTTCCCACAAACAATGGGGGTATTCACGATTTATAGTATTAAAACAATCAGTATTTGTGTGACGTCACATACCACGTCATATAGTATAACTGAATCACTTTTTATTTTCACAAATGCACAGCATGCCATATAAAATCCTAAACCTGTTTGTGTGTATTTTTTTTACATGACCCCATGTTGTGTGAAAATACACATATGTTTGTATGTAGCATTTTTCTGGTGACAAGCCAATGCTCTTGTTTTAATTGGTTTGCAACTGTGTGCTTTGCAACTATAGCCATAATATACGTATAATGTGCATATATATTTACGTATGTCGCAGTTAATAGGCCAATGTTTGCAATATGATTAGATATTGTGTGGTAGCTAGAAAACCGTATCATTTATCGGACAATCTATACGGCAGGATATATTAAATATTGATACCAAATTATACAAAGAGTAGTAATTGGCGTTGTACAGTTTTCTTGAAGCTATGTAAAAAAATGCATATGCGAGGACCTGCATACTTTTCAGGAAGTATGTATTATACTCTCTAATAGAAAAATATGTCAAAATTAGGTACTTTAAGGTGGATAGGTCCTTAAAAATACCAAAAATGAGACAAAAAAAAAATATGAAATGCTAATTACAGTCACTTCAGTGTGAAAATGATATAGGAGCTTAATTCGAAAATCGAACTGAGGAATATTTCTGGATTAGGAATTACTATGGTACAACGTTTTTTCGGTTAGGACGTTTTAAATGCCTAAAATGAGGCGGAACGTCTATATGGAGACTAAACTACCGCCTGTTAAATCCAATCATCAAATTTATGCCACATCGGTTATACACAGCAAGGGCCTTGATGTAATGTCAAAATATGGAAATATATCACGTGGGGAAAAAAGAAATCCATTAGGGCGGTAGTCGAAAATAGCGATAAAATCGGGGAAATGATCGAAGTTGACCGGCATGTTAGCAGTCGTAACATCGCCCAGTAGCTAAAAATCGACCATAAAACTGTTTCAAACCATTCACACAAAGCTGGATTCAAAAAGAATCTCGATGTGTGGCTGCCACACCAATTAACAGTAAAAATGGGATGGATCGAGTTCCCATCTGCGAAGACTTGGCCGAATGAGGAATGAGATAGACCCATTTCTTAAACGGATGGTGACTGGAGATGAGAAATGGATCACATACGATAAACCTGTGCGAAAACGATCTTGGTCAAAGAGCGTTGAAGCACCTCAAACGGTGGCCAAACCAGGACTAACGGCCAAGAAGGCTCTGCTATGCATTTGGTGGGACAGGATGGGGATTATTTATTATGAGTTGCTTCTATATGGCCAAACGCTAAATTCTGATCTCTACTGTCAACAACTGGACCGTTTGAAGATAGCAATTGACCAGAAACAGCCAGGATTGGCCAACAGGAGAGGTGTCGTGTTCCACACACATCTACAGTGACTTGCCAGAACTGCGTTATTATCATATTTTATATCATATTTTTTATTATCATATTTTTCTTGCAGTACAGGATTGGAAGGATTGAGAAAATCGACTACTAGAGTTTTTTTGCAGATAGAGAGCAGGACTTCTATGAGAGAAGCATTATGAAGTTAACTTCAAAATGGAACATATCATACAACAAAACGGTGCATATTTGGCCCAAACCGTATCTTACGAAGCATGTTAAATAAAGTCCTATAGTTTATATAAAAATAATGGATTTCTTTTTCCCCATCCTAATATATCTGATCAAAATTAAAGCTAGGGGCTACGAAAAATTCCAGGGTGGTTACAACCCTGTGCACCAAGATTTTGTGAGGTTCAGAATTGCTCATGAAGTCGAAAGCCCGTTTCGAGTATCTTAAGAACCCAGGAGGACAAACTCGTCATAGGTCAAATTATTGATGTTGGTTATTTTTCAGATCACATGTCCGCAGTCAAATCTAATGAGGAATATCTTTCTTTATATCTCGAGTCCTTGTATATCTTTTTCGCCCTTATTTTCTTGAACCGTAATCTAAATATCACAAGACAAAATTTGATTTGATCTCCGAACATTCCACAAAAATTTTTATAAGATTTTAGCCAGAGTCCCCAAAGACAAGAAATCAAATTTCAAATGTTTTCATCATCCTTTTCCACTTCAACCCGATCCTTACTCATAGGACACCCACCTAAACATTTTCCAAAAATTTACTAATACTAATGCGATTTTGTGAATCTTGTGCCGATAACCGTATCTACAATCTCATGAGCCAATTTTTTAGAATATATGGACTAGAGATAGAGAAATAATACAAAAACATCACGCTTTAACTCGAAAACTAGGCCTACGTCGATTTTGACCTTGGGGGTTCTTAAAATAGTCGGCAAGAAGTTTCATAAGTAATTTTCCACCACAAAAAAATATTGTTGTACAATGTTATCTATTACTTAGACTGCAGAGATGTCTTGTCCATCTCTACCAGTATAATAAATATATCTATAGAATAATACACTTAATGAAAAAACATTCTCAACAATTTATTTTCAATTAAAACGTGTCTATCATTTTATTAAAAACTCCCCCTTTGTGAAAATTGTGTTCATGAATTGAAAATTGCTGCTGCATCACAGGTAGTTTTAATTTTCCGACTATTTTTATTTTCTTTGTACATCGTTTTTTCTTGGCAATACTCCAAGCAACATGTGTTTTTTGGCTATACGATGTGCAAAAAATAGATTTATAGTTCATGTTTCTTTTGTTTATTTAATTATTTCACAATATTGTAAATATGTTAAACAAAGTGATGCTATGCTATGACTAAGAGAATTACTTTTGAAGGTAATTTTTAATGAAGGATTCTTGGAATTAGGAATTAATTGTGATAGATAAAAATATATATCAATTTGTTAAATTGAGATGATGCAGAAAATTCCAATTATATAGCTAATTATTATACTCTGTTCACCACACATTCGTGTGTATAGAAAAAAACAGACATTGATATATTTTTAAGATATATTTTTATTAAGGCGCATATTCCTTACAATTGTTTATGCTGTTGTTTATGTTGAAACTAATTTTTGTCAAAACAATTATTTTATTTAAAACGTCAGCTAATTTTATTTTTAACAAATGTCTAATGCTCTTTTCGAGAAATACTATAAATAGACTAGTCTATGTACTAAATTTGAACAATTAGAAAATTTATTTTCCTTCTATTCTTCGTTTGTAGTGCGGCATTTTATAATTGAAGTCAATTTTGCCGCTAAAATGAACGCCAAACAGTCTGTGTCTATGTTTATGTATGTGTGTATGTTTTCTAATTGCACAATAACAGCTAAAGCAAATATCTTGAAATGAAGCCTGAGAAACATGAGACAGTCCTTGAGGTATTTATTTTTCATTATAAATGCTTCTTGATTAAGGAACATAATCAAGGATTACAGAGCATGAGAATATTTCTGTTTTGGGGGTCGAAATATCACATTACGCTCATTAAAATTGTAAATTTTTCCTAAGAATAAAAAAATATCTTTAATATATTTGAAATGCTGTGGGATTAATTTTCGATTTGTAATAGAAATATTGATTTCTTTAAAGAAATACAACACATTATTTTGTAACGGTTACAGTGCAGATAATAATAATAAAATATTTTATTCTCGAAAATTTGCTAAATTATTCCTTCATATTTTACACTGAAACAGTTCAACAGTTTTGAGGTGGTTAAAAAAATGCGCAAGGACTCGATGTGGAAGGATGATATAATTTACAATTTTTTTTCTCATTCGCTTTTACTGAAGACATGTAGTTTGATAAATATCCAACAACAGACGCACACAAAGATATAGAGTTGTTTCTTCATGCATTTTAAAGTTGCCAGAATAATCTGTAGTAGCCCTTAAAAAGGATATATATAGTATTGACAATTATATTGATGTACGTACACGAGTAGGGAATTTATACGTAATTATTGACATGGGGTCTACATATTCTGATATTGTTTAGTATTATCGTTACCAAACTAGATGCAGGAAATGTCCCATTGATCGCTTTAAAATTGTACATGAATATTATTCGGAAAAAATGACAGGTCAAGAAAGGCGAGCTGCTGACTTCTTATCGGTCAAAAAGGGTGCAAATATCGAGAAATATTGTTCAGAATACAGATTCACAGAATATTAGAGTTCAGTGGTAGCTTTGTAAGGTATCAGATGATCGGTTCTACTTCGCTCACTGATTATACCCTTAGCATTACGGCTAATGAGGGTATATTCACTTTGATACGGCAAAAATGTGAATCGTGATAAATGAAATTGATTTACAAATGCCCGTCCACAAAGGGGGAACAATTTCAATATTTACGAATCCAATATCAGGCGAATGGACCCGATAATAAAGACCTTTGCACAACCTATTTCTCTACCAAGCCTAGATCAAACCCATAGTTGGGCCAACATTTTTATCTCTATATATATAAAAATTACGTGTATGTTCGTGATCGCTAAACTCAAAAACTACTGCACCGATTAGGACCAAATTGTATATACATGCTCTATGGGGCGTGAGGAGTGTTCCTGTGTAGTTTGAAGTTCATCCGAAAGATGGCGCAATATTTAGTATTTTTGATTTTGCCCCGTAATTTCAGAACTATTCCACCCATTTTGACCAAACTTTATGTATATGCTCTATGGGCGTGATCAGTGTTTCTGTTTAATTTTAAGTTCGTCCGACAGATGGCGCG